TATAATATAATATAATATTATATATATATATATATATATATATATATATCCTGTTTCCCTGAACATAAGCCTTAGCTGGAAAATAAGCCCTCATGATTTTAGGTGCCAAAATATGGCACTTTGGCATACTGAATGTTTTAAGCAGAAGGAGTTTGTGGAAAAGGCACCATTCTCCCTGAAACAGGTCATAAAACCCTCATGTGAGGGAGCGTGCCCTCCATATCCCAGAGGAATCATGCTAGGGCTTCTTCTCTGGCTAGGTTTTATTTATTTTTAGGGAAACACGGTATATGTATATATTTTTTTATGTGGTCCCCCTTTATTCTTAATAGCATTTAGCTCTGGAGCTGGGGGGAATCTTTTTACATTTTGAGACTATTTCGGCACCGTCAGTCCCATCTCGCCCATCTGCTTGGAAATAGGGTGCGAGGTGGGTGCTGCATTCATGGCAGGGTGTCAACTCTAACACCAAAGTGTCTGGCATCCAAAGCATATAAAATTTCACATGAATCTACTAAACTTATTGGTGCTTCAAACACTTGTCAGACAATTCAACTACGACTTGACATATCCCGTCTTAGCCAAGAGTATGCCTAAGACAGTTGCTGATTATTCATTATAAACATTACTTTGTCAACTTTGTCATATGTTGAGAATGTTCATAATTAAAAGTTGAAAGAATAGTAAGTACGATGAATACCCAGCTATGTACCATCTGATTCAACTATTAAAAGTTTCCCATATTGATATATCTATTTATACATCTATTCATGTTTTATTTACTTTAGCATTTCAAGGTAAATTCAGAGATCTTACCCCTAAATAATCGGTATGTGTCTCTTAAGAGTGAAATTATTTTTGTTTGTTTTTGTTATATGGAAATTCTTCCATGTAGCCATGATGTCATGATGTCTATTATACTTAAGAAAATTCATAAAAATTCCACCTTATCTAATATCCAGTCTACATTCAGAGCTTCCCAATTATGTCTCAACTCAGTTTCATAGCTTTTTGGTGTGATTCATGATTTAATCAAGATTCACATATTACCTTTGGTTGTTAGGAATTCCTAGTTTCTTTAAAGTGTCTCTGTATTAGTAAGCTAACCTGAAAGTAACATTCCTGATTTTTACTATAATGACAGAGTTGCAGTCACCATATTAAAACAATTATAGTTACTAGCTAGTCATTGATATTTATTATGTATCAGGACTGTGCTAAGGGCTTTATAAATTTTACTTAAATCCTAATTTTAAAAAGTCCAGTTGTATTTTGCTATTTACTTTCATAGAGAAACGTTAGTTAAAAACACTTATTTTGAGTAAATTCTATATAATTTACAAACCTATGGCTAATGCGATTTGCCAGATTTCTACATATCTCTTACATGAGCCAAATATTTTATTTAGATCCAGGGAAAATATTTTATATGTTGGAAAACAAGTCTGCTTTCCTTGGTTCAGATCTAGGTTTCATAATCAGTAAAAATAAATAATTTCTGTAACTTGCATACCTGCTGTACTTGCCCCCTCTTAAAAAACTTTATTTTTTTCATTAAAGAACTTTAGCCATTATTTTTTTGTTTAATATACATAACCCCAAATATTTCCCAGAGGCACGCTGAATATAAGTTATTAGTTATCTTCTATCTTTTGGATATCAAAAGTAAGGTTGACTTTTCTCTTTGACTCCTTTCATATTTATTGCCAAATAACTGTAAATAATCATTGATTTTAGCATTTGAATATTATTTTAGTTAATAGCTTTTCTTATTAAAATGTTCCCCCTTTTTTATTTTTAAATAGACTATACTACTTCATTAAAGAATATTGACTACCTCCTTATGGTTAGACGAGGGCCAAGTATTAGTTGTGGGAAAATCGATTTATTTTCTGATTTTTTAAATCAGGTTTCTTTGTTTGTTTAAAAAGGAAATCCCATTGTCACACCTCTCAAATGAAGCACAACTTGAGCTCTGCAAACAAACAAGTCATGACTGATTACATTTTTGGAATTTTAATGCTAACTTAGTATTCTGTACAACAAATTTTTTTTAGGCACTTGAAGACTCCAGCTGCCTGAAAAGGAGTGGCAGGGACAGCGGTTACGGCGACATCTGGTGTGCTGAGAGGGGTGAACTTCCTGCTGCTCCAGGCAACCATAGGCGAGAAGATTCATTTGAAAGCTTGGACTCCTTGGGGTCTAGGTCATTCACAAGCTGCTCCTCTGATATCACACTTAGGGGGGGACGTGAAGGTGAGTTACATTTCTGATTGTAAGTTTATTTTTATTTGTTTGTATATTAAGAGAAAATTGGAAATGAGAGAGAGTAGAAAAATGGGGTGAACATTATCAAGGCAAAAATTTCATCAAGAAGTGTATTTTCATAAAGACCCAAATGTTAATAACCACCACTAGAGGGGTGATGGTTTCAGGTTTTTTTGTTTGTTTGTTTTTCCTTCCCATTTTTAGAGAAGACTGGAGAGGAGAGTTAACTGTACCTTTTTTCTCAGTATGGTAATATATTTTAGTTCTTTTCTTTCCAGATTCAGGTTTAATGATCTGTGCCTATGAGGCCTGTTAACTGGTATTTCTAAACATAAGAAAGGAAAGACTAAAAAACATCTGTCTAATTCCTGAGTTATTTTCTTTTTTCGCTTCTCTTCTCTTACTTTTTCCAAAAATATTAAAAAATTCTCAAAAAACCCCACAAAAAAACAGGAAAAACACCTGAGGCATTGTGGGAATATTCAGACTTCATACAGTTCAAGTGCAGTGGTCCGGTGGTGTGGAATCAAAGTCTGTTCTCAGATTCTCATTGGACGGGGTGCCTGGTTAATGTGACGAAAAGCAGAGAGCCACTGTGACACTGCTCCCTGATCTTGAGGAAGGAGTTACAGACCTTGTTTAAAGAGTGAAGAAGTGAAGACTTGGTAATTATAAGCACGAGGGAAAAAAAAAAGAGAAAAGCCTGGGGGCCACCAGGATGATAAACCTTTTTTTGTGATCAGTGTATTAAAATTCTGCTGCCTACCAGGTTACAGTCCAAAATGGATGATCACCACAACTTAGGATACTATTTTTAAGTTAACCGAGTTTCAAAGTCAAATTCTTAGTTTTATATGAAACCTCCCATATCAAGAATATTTGCCTACTCTATAGGGTACTGTATAGACTCAAAAATAAAAACATTAACTTTAAAAATTCATGTATTATACGGCATGATGACTACAGTTCACACTCTTATGTGGCACATATGAAAGTTAAGAAAGTAATTATATCCTGAGTTCTCATCACAAGGAAATGTTTTTCTTCTTCTTTATATGAGAACAATGGATGTTAACCAAATGTACTGTGGCAATCATTTCACAATACACGTAAGTCAAATCATACTGTACACCTTAAACGTATACAGTACTGCATGTCAATTATATCTCAATATGAATGGGGAAAATTTCCAAAGTAGAACAATTTCTTTATGTACTTACGATTTTACATGTGTAAATTTTGATAGGAATTAAGACATTTCTCTCATTTCCAGAAAATGTACTGTGTGCTTAGGAGGCTGTAGAAACAAATGAAGCACCGGATTAGTGACTATAAACCTTCCTGGTGTGAGCTGTGTATACTGTCTTCCTTTGCACCATGCCACCCTTTTCCCCTGGTCTCATAGCTGTGTGTTAAACCGTTTCCTGTAGGTCATTCTCAGTGTTATTTACTGTGGATTCCTGCCAGGCAGGAGGGAGGAGACAGGACTGCCTTTAGCTCAGGTTAACCCCACAGGTGCTCTCTGTGCCGACAACTTGCAGCTCTCAGGTACTCAGGTACTCAGGTGGTGTGCACAGCCAACCTCAGAGAGCCCTGGTGGGATGGAAGCAGGCCGCCCACATTTGCATACTTTCTTTACAAAAAGGCAAGAAAGTCAGACAACTCAGCTTGGATCTGTAGTGTCTGTACCCGCTTTTCTTCCTGTGTCTTTAAATGAGCACTTTATTTATTTATTTATTTTTAAGAGAACTGGTTGTATTTGTTTCAATCTGACCTTGAGGTGTATCAAAGTGTATTCTTTTAAATTCGTGTTTAAATGACTTTGGATCAAAACTATAATACCCGTGGCCACCCTCAGAAAAAGGCTTCTGTGTTCTCATTTAGGTAGGAGACTTGATATTCCATTGGGACTTTGGTAGTCATTTGGTCCAATTCCATATCTAATGTGTGCTCCTTGCTCACAGAGGTCTTAGGATCTACCACACTCCTGTAACATCCTGTGCTTTCTGCTTCTCTTTCTATGTCCGCCCATATCTCTTGCCTCACAGAAATTTCAGAGGGCTGCATGCTGTCTTTTAAATGACTGTTTCCCTAGAATTACTTTCATATCTCATTTAAAGTGTCTTTGGCTCAATTGCTAGGTTTTACGCAAATATAGTCCATCAACACGTTTTATAAAAGATTATGGGGGCAGGGAAGATTGGGAAATAAAGCGGTTCGGCTGTCCATAGGGACTTTTTCTGCTTAGAATGTGCAAGAGGAGAAGCATGTGCTGCACGCGCCTCCAGTATGCAAAGCAGATTCCTCCTAATGGATCTTATCACAACTTCATGACAAATGTCTAAAAATACTCCCCGTAGTTAGCAGCAGAGCACCGGGTTTCCAAGGGAAAGACAAAGCTGGCAGGCTGTGTGGGTTTCAGTTAGAGGAATAATCTGGAGAGTAAAGAAAATGCTTGTGCCTTTTTTGTAGGTTGTGAAAGTGACACCGATTCTGAATTAACCTTCAAAATGCAGGATTACAATAAAGATGATATGTCCTATCGGAGGATTTCAGCCATTGAACCAAAGTCTGCTTTACCATTCAATCGTTTTTTACCCAACAAAAGTAGACAACCATCCTATGTGCCGGCGCCCTTGAGGAAGAAAAAGCCGGACAAAAATGAAGATAACAGAAGAAGTTGGGCAAGCCCTGTCTATACAGAAGCAGATGGAACATTTTCAAGGTATTGAGATGCGATCCGATTATCGAGTTTTAAAATTGAGTAGGCTTGCGAATGTGCTGGGATATTTAAATGTGGTACAAGGAATGGTTCTTAAAATATATGTCGTAGATTAAAATATATTAGATTTCATTAATGCAAACGTTTTTGTTTTTCCTGCCTATATTTTTAGTCATACATGTCTTAAAGATATTTCTTACATTTTAGAATGTCAGCATATGATTTGCCTGTTCTTTTTATAGATGCATTCCTTTAGGCTTACTGGTATCTTTCAGCTTACTGGATGACTTATATCGTTCATTGTGAGTTCTGCTGTGTCGTTGTTTTTCTTTTTCCTCCCCTGTGTTGATTGATCTCCGTGGACATAAAAAGAGCTCTTTAATTTCTCACCAAATGAGCAGAGAGCATAGTGTGACTTTTCAAATCCAGCTTCCTATCAGAAGAACGTATATGGTTCTGACAGTGGCTCGGACTCCAAGGATGAACGCAGGTTGCCTGACATAGTTTCGGATGCCTTAGCCAGCCGTAGATTCCAAGGGAAAAAGAGGCCAGAGAATTTCTTCTTGAACACTCTCTCTCCTAACTCTTATTCACAAATATTTTCTCTTGCTGGCCCAGTAGCCACCATGCTATATGAACTGACAGCTTCCTCCTGCTTCTAAATATCTATTCTGTTGATTGTAAGACATAAAAAAGTAACACCCCAAGTTGTTCACAGTGTGTCTTTTTTTAACACATCTTATAATTACCTTTGTCCCTTATGCAGTAGGCTATTCTTTAATTAAAATGAGATGCTGTTATAATGCCTTAACTTTGTTCTAGGAGCTGTATGTTGAGAATGGGAACTAATTTGCTTCCTTCCCAGTGGTGTAAACTTTGTGAGCCAGAAAGCATGCCTTCTGTAGTCTATGTCACACATTGCTCATGCATTATCTTAACCGGTTGGATGTTTTGAACAGTAACGAGAGGAGAACTTGGGGCACAAACGTGGAGAACTGGTCAACAGTACAAGAAACTTCAAACTCCTTTTGTTACTTGGAAGAGGAAGACGAAGAAAAGACAAGCATACCCAATATTGTAAAGGATGACCTTTATGTGAGAAAGCTAAGTCCGATCATGCCAAACCCAGGGATTGCTTTCGATCAGTTTCTTCCCAAATGTTGGCTCCCAGAAGATGTGAACTGGAAAAGGATAAAAAGGGAAACTTATAAACCATGGTATAAAGAATTTCAGGGATTCAGGTTTGTCTCTGTGCATGTTTCTGTCATTCCAGTGTCCTGGCTGGGTGCATTCTCTGTGTGCTTTTTATGAAAGAGACAGCTTCATTTCCCTCCAACATCTACAGAACCTCTGTAACTGAAAAAAGAAAATGCTGTTTAAATTTAAACTGTAGGAGCTGGATCTTAAAAAGACCTCTTCTATACATAGTTGTAGCTTGACATTATTTTTAGTTCTATTTTTCTCCAATGCTGTGTCTTCTTCCCTCTCTCCTTCCTTTCTCTGCCTCCTTCCACAGTAGGAGGAATTCATACTCTGAGGATGAGGAATCAGGCTCTGGCAGAGGCTCTGCCATTTTCAGTAGGATGCCCAAAGCAGAGCATAGGCTAGACAGCAACTACCAGAGACGTTCACTCTTGATGGAACTAGCTACCGAACAGGCCAGAAACTCACGGGACACCCATGCAGCCAGGAGCGCTCATGGTACTTCGGACGAGCCCAGGTGTACCTGCCTACATGAGCCTTCCTGCTTTGAGTCTGGCCTGTGACACCCGTCCCTGCCTCTGCTGCTACATTAACCTCAGATCATGATGTGCTGAACCATAAAAACTTACTCACTTATTCTTTAGTATAAAGCATGATGTATGGTATATTGCTTTCTGTGTGGGCATGTAAGCTTGGAAGTCTGCAGGATGATATATTCTTCTTGAGAACAATAACGGATAAGGGAGGATAGAGTTAAATGTGGCATAATCAGTTCTTTTGGAAAACCATTTAAAAGGCTTTTGGGGACAGCTGACCTAATTTTACAGATGTGCAATGCATGGAGAAGTGGAGACAGGAAATAACTTTTAGATAGACACCAGGACAGGCAAGTCTGGTGGGAAAAATGCAAACTCCTCAGGGGCTTTTATAAAGCTTCAGAGCATTTTTAAAATTTCTGCTGACTACCTGTGCCTACTGCATAAAGTGCTTCATGACCAACTCTTGAAACTTTCCAAGATCATTACTGCTTCCCTTTCTGGGATGGGAATTAGGTCATGGTGACTCATGGACTGAGGAAGAAGTGAAAGCGAGTGTGGTGTTGCATGCCAGGGAGGTTTACTCTGCCTCCATTCTGGTCCCTCACTGGGCCTGATGGTACCCACCTTTCCTGAGAAGTACACTCTGCTCTTGTTTCTTTAAATGGTATCCAGGAAAGTCACAAGTGATGGCATTAAATGCTAGTCTGATGGCCCCCTAAAATAATTCATCCACAGTAACTGACTAGTTTGTCTGCTACCTAACTACTTTTTCTCCTCAAACTTAATAAGATTCTCCCTTCCTTTTTCTTTTCTATGCTTCAGTCAGTTTTTATTACTTCAGGCCTTCCAAACATATTCTGACGACATCTTGTCTTCTGAAACAAATATCAGAATTGATCCCACTGCTGGCCCAAGGCTCGTAACACGCAGGAAGAATCTCTCTTATGCACCAGGGTCTAGAGGAGGTGATCTTGAGATGTCAGCCCTGGATCCTGACTTAGAGAATGATGATTTCTTTGTCAGAAAGACTGGAGCTTTCCACGCCAATCCATGTGTTCTCCGGGCTTTTGAAGACTTCAGGTTTTCTGAGCAAGATGACCTTGTAGAGCGAGACATAATTCTGCAATGTAGAGAAGGTGAACTTGTACTCCCAGATCTGGAAAAGGATGATATGATTGTCCGCCGAATTCCAGCACAGAAGAAAGAGGTGCCTCTGTCGGGGGCCCCAGATAGATACCAGCCCATCCCTTTCCCGGAACCCTGGACTCTTCCGCCGGAAATTCAAGCAAAATTCCTCTGTGTACTTGAAAGGACATGCCCATCCAAAGAAAAAAGCAATAGCTGTAGAGTATTAGTTCCTTCATATCGTCAGAAGAAAGATGATATGTTGACTCGTAAGATCCAGTCTTGGAAGATGGGCACTCCTGTGCCTCCCATCAGCTTCACCCCAGGTCCCTGCAGTGAGGCGGACTTACAGAAGTGGGAGGCCATCCGGGAGGCCAGCAGGCTTAGGCACAAGAAACGGCTGATGGTTGAGAGGTCAGAGTATGTTTCTGCAAGGATTTTGCTTGTAATGGATGGTCTTGTGCAACTTGTGTGAGAAAGTGGCATCGTATTGCCCGACCGCATGTCATGAGTCATTTTGAAGCAGCCTGTAAAAAATGTTTTGCTTTGAGAAACCTTTATTTCATGGAAAAAGTGCAATTCCATATTTGCACACCTGTAAATCCTCTATTTGAGGCCTGTCTAAGAAGGTGTATTTGCCGTATTTGGCCGTAAAGGAAGACTGTGGTACTAGTCTTGATGTTACATGAAAATGTTTTCCGGTTACATTTACAGATTTTTATTCTCATGTCCAGGCACTTCTGAAACAGTCTGTCTGGTTGCAGTTTGGTCTTACGTGTTTCTATTTTGGAGGGTATGAGTTTTGTGTAAAAATTGCCCTGAAAATATGGCATTGCAAATTTCATTTAACTTGATTTTGATTTTTGTTTTTGACCTAGGTTTTTTTGTACTATCAGTATGTGACTTTCTAAATTTAGAGTTTCAAGTTCAGTGCAAACTTTATTAAAATGCATGAATGTTATTTGCTCTCTGCCAAATTTTACATATATGTAACTTTAGCCATTTTAATAATAATGAGTGCATTTTTGTGTTATGCAACTTGATGTTTTGATGAATGTTCAGTTTGTTGAACTTTGGAATGGACAAATATGATTAGGTTGAATAAAATTAGTAGATGCAAATCTAGCTTTTTATTAGTTCCTGGCAACAGGAAGCTTTTTGTTATGGATTTGTTAGTTCAGTTAAATCAGGAAACTCTTATCTTACTTAATGTGAATTCTTTGAGATATGAGATCAATGAGAATTTGAGACATGATCAAGAATATGACTGAAGAAGCAACCTTTTGAGATTTGTCCATATCTAGTTAGACTCTTCAGTTAAAAATGTTGAGCATTTAGAAATTAACACATTGGAAGAAATGACTTTTAATTTTTGGTTTTCTAATTTCTTAGACTCTTTCAAAAGATTTATGGTGAGAATGGGTAAGTTTTGTGGTTCACAGTAAAAAAAAATCAATCTCTGCATATTGTTTGTCCTTTGTGTAATGTGTCATTGCACTTCTGTCCTGGCATGTCACTAAACTGGGATGCTGTGTGCTGTGCATGAAATTTAGATATGGGAAATTTTTATTAATTTTCCAGCCTAATAGTAATGTGTCTGGGTTCTCAGTGCATGAAGTGCTATATGACAACAATCGAATTGCTTTATTAGAAGTTTAAAATTCAAGGGGTTTTTTTTGTTGTTGTTGTTTTTTAATTCAAGGAGTTGATTAAAAGTAATAAGGCGCTTGCCTAAGATTAGGTATCTTTACTTTGGTATTTGATTATTATACAGACCTAAATTTTCATCCTGGATGTTGAAGCCCAAATAACTACATTTTAGAAAATGTGTGATGGAAAAATAATATTAGAATTTACTTTGCGGTTGGAATACGTGAAGTCGGCATCATGTATATGCTGCTAGCTTATTGGGGAGCTTTCTCAGTTGGGATGGTGAGTGGCATTAATCTCCCTAGTAGAATTTGAAAAAATTTTCAAGATTCCTGATTAGGGAAAAATGTTACAAAATAGCTGTGTGATAGAGTCAAATCAGCCTTCCAACCCTGCAAAAGTTAAAATCTTTCCAATATTGTTGCAAGGATGATATTTGTAACTAACCCTTAATTTTTGTCTACTGTAAACTTTAGTCACCTGGTAGACATAAAATATAAAAATAACTTCCTGGAAATATTTTCTATTTCCAGAATAACATACTTAAAAGAAAATGCTACTTTTACTTTTTGTTACACACTAACTGTAGAATCACTTATTCTTATTGAAAAATAACCAGGTGGCTGCATATTGACATTTTCCACCAAACTTTCTATAACTTTGTGAGTCTAACTGCTAATAGTTTTTGAGCAAGAAGAAAACTTAAGTGTGTGAAATATTTTAATCTTGATCATCAAGTATTTTCATTATAAGACCTAAGCTTTAGTAGCTAAGTATCTTCCCCTACCAGGATTTATTTAATCTCTAAGATTCCCTAATTTTGATAGCTGGATACTTTGAAAATGTAGAGATCTTGGAAGTTACCAAATACAATTGCTATTTAAAAGTCTTATAACCTTTCTATATGTCAAAGATGTAACTGAACCACGGGCAACTAATTGCAGGTATTTCTCAGTCACTGATTTTAAAAATCAGGCTCCCAGCAAAGGCACATTACCCCCTCCAGCTCCTCCTGTGCCTACGGCCTTCTCATCAGTAAGGGTGAACATGGCAATTTCAGCATGACGCCTAAGCATCTGCTAAACATGGTGCATCAGAGGAACGTTGTTTTAACTTCATGAAAAAATCTCTTTCCATCTTCTAGCATTTTGAATGATAACTTTCAGAAGAATTTTCATCGGTAAATAAGACTTTAAAATGTAAACAGGTTGTTTTCTTAAAGGGAATACGAGCACCCCAAGTACAAGTAGTTGATAGGATTGCACACATGTATAGCTATTTCAATGACTATTCATACTCTAGGGATACAGTGTATGACTGGGTTAAGAAAAGAGAGAAACCCCAATGCCAAGGCTCAGAAAGCTAAGGATTTCTCTAGGCTATAGCTAACAGCAGCAAATGCCTTCTGTATACTATTTCAGAATCGTTGCTTGCGTAGTACAGTATTTGCTTTCAAGGCTGTTCCCCTTGCAGTTTAGTGCCAAGGTAACAACACAAATAAAACAAGATTGTCTGTAAATTGAGACTGATGAATACTGCATGACTTGTGAAATAATGGGAAGTAATACAAATGTGTCTTCATAGAACTCAAGTGCATTGTAGACTAAGTGCAATCAAAATCTATTATATGGTACTTTTTTCCCCCTCTATTCTGTCAATTACCAATGTTTTTCTTAAATTGATCTCTGCAATGAAAGCAAAAATTCAATTGGGTTGAGTATAGGCATTTAATCTAGAAGTTGTTTCATGGTTATAAACATTTATGAACATGTTTATAACCATGAAACAACTGCTATTTCTGGGTGATGTTTCTTTGGATGTAATGTACATTGTCAAGCTTGGAATACTTACCTGAAAATTCATTATTTTTCAACATCCTGTGGTTGAAAAATCATGGATGCTTTCCTTTTGGAAAGGACCAGGTTAAAGAGAAATGTGCTTTACCGTTTGACGTCTCAGATCGTTAATTTCTGGCTTGCTCTTTATTTGGCATTTTACACCTGTCACTTTGTTTATTTTTTGTAAGATGCTTTGTGTATGGCAGTCATTTCTCACATGTGTGCTTTTGTGTTGCATGGACTTATGTGTCTGTATGACATTTCAAAATTTGGTTATGATGCCTCTTGGTAGAAGCTCTAATGACAGATAAATTTGTAAGGTTATATAGCTGTAATTTTGTAATGTGATTAAGCCATTGAATCTCCTGCCAATTGTCAATAGGAAACGAACACTGACTGATTCAAGGGGAAGTTGTATTCAAAGGCAACTAAGATACCTATATTTCACTTGTGGGTTTTGGCTAAAAACATCCTATAGATGCTATAAAGCTATAGAGCTATAAAGACACACAAGACAACAAAAAGGAAGAGAAAATAAAGTTGATATGAGTTACTTTGTGGGGATTTTGCCCTCAGGAGACATTTGTTAATGTCTGCAGACATTTTTGATTGTCACACAGGGTGGGTTGTTAGGAGACAGGGGTTGCCACTGGCACCTGGTGCCTTTATAGCCAGCAATGCAGCTAAATGTCCTTCAATACACAGGACGGTCCCCTACCATAAATAATTTTCTGGCCCCAAAATGTCAGTAGTGCTGCTTTGGAGAAACCCTGATTTAGACTATAAACTATACAGGAAAAGTCTCTATTACATTGTTTATCATTCTAGTTGATGGTCGTTCTAAAGCTTTCTCAGGCTTTAGTATTGGTTACCCTTTAGAGAATTCCTACAACACCTAATGGAAATATATCTAGAGGTGCATAAATAATTATATTCATGTCTTCCTCTGAAGGTTGGGGGCCTCAAACTTAGTATCATGGAATTTCTGTTTGCTGTGTGAGGCTACCAGTGATTTTTATATTAAGCACATTTTGCTACATGTTGGTCCTTTTTGATCTATAAATTCTTTTAAACAATTATGCATCATAACACTAGTCAAAAAGTGCCAGGAAAGTAGCCGATGATTAGCATCGTGGGAGAAGAGAGTAAGATTTTGGTGATACTGGTTTATAATCTATACCTGCTTCCTTAAACTTTCCCCTTCTTTCTCTCTTCGTAAATGCTATTTGAAAAAATTATATTCAACTGAAAATGCAACATGTTAGACCTGTATTTTTTTGGGGAAAAATCCAAGTGCACTTCTAAATTGGAGACTTTCCAAGTAAGGAAATACAAAGGTGGCAAGTCAGCGAATTGTAAGAATGGTGATTGGCCAGTGAATAGTAATTCACTCTACCAAACATATTAGAGCTGTGTAGTCCTTTACAGTTTTCCCAAATGATTTTCCTGGGATTATCTCTGGTGCTTATCTCAATTCTGTGAGGTAGACAGATGGGTATTATATGCATTTTAGAGACATGGAGAAAGAGAAACAGATATAGCAATTTTCCCAAGGACATCCAGCTACTGAGTGGTAGAACCAGACTTAGGGTTTTGTCTAATGAGATAACCCAAGTAACTGCTTGGCACACAGTAAGCCCTCAGAAGTTTATTATGCTGTTAACTCTGATAAGGAAGGAAAGAATTCTCCATGATCTGGCTGGAAGACTCCTGCACTCTAAAAGCTCTAGATTTTATCGGTATGGCCTGGGGTGACCTCTCTCACTTGAAACTGCTTTGGTAGTTAGTTTTCAGGAGATCCCACGCAGTCATATTTGCCTGAACAAGAACAGTTGGTGTATAGCACCAGATGGTTATTGACATGTAATTAACATCACCATACCCATGTCTCATAGGGATCCCTTCCTTGCTTGGTAGATGAGGCGCTGAAGCTCAGAGAAGGGAACTGATGTTAGATTGCGATGGAAATCGGTGCCACGGCCAGACCCAGAGCCCTCACTTCCTGTCTCATTCCAGTGCCTGGCTCCGCCTGTGTGGAAAGTGCTCAGGCTTTTTGTAGGTAACATTATGCACCCCAGGGATCAAAAGGAGCTCACATTCCTCCCTTATGCAGGGATTTGCCTACTCAGGGTGGTGTTTGGCTCACTTTGTTCTTTGGGGAACCTCCTATGTGCCAGGCTCTGTGCTGTGGTCTCTTGGGAGGACAGTGCAGCCTCCGCCCAGGATGAGCACGTTTTCTGAGAAGACACATGCTAAGATTTTATGGTGCAGGAGGATGAGGTTCTAAACGGCACCTGTGTACAAGTCTGGGCTGGTCGGGACCGTCCAGCCTTCACCCCACCAAAAAGTTATTAAAATCTTTACATTTCTATTTTTGTTCTGGAATTTATGCAACTGCATCTGTTAGGTATCCAGATTCCCCTCATGCCTTGGCCCTGAAAATTTTTTCTTGCCTCTTTTTAGTGAGTCTGTTATAGTATTAGCTCCAATAGCCTTATTGTTTGCAGTTATGACTGAAGAGAATTTATGTTCTCAAATACACATAAATCAGTTTTATATGCAGTCATACCTAGTTAACTAAGTAATATTACATTGGTAGATTAATATATAATTTCATATATAAATTCATATGTATTCTGTATGTAATTCCTTAATATTCTTTAACAAATCCTATAAAGCTTTCTTTATAAAACTTTGGGAGAGAGTCATAAATTCTGACAAAAATTAGAAACATTTCAAGTTTATTTTGCTTGATTAAATGTGATAAAACATACCTCATTCTTACCACAGATGTTAAACGAGTGTATCCGGCATGCCTCGTGCTATGTTAATGTGTTTTCATCTCAAGCAACATGTGAACTTGTGAGGAAGATAAGCCAAACATACACACTTATGGATGCAGTATATGTACCAGTGCTGAATGTTAAATACCATGAGAAAGGTATAGCTAAAGCACTAGGGGAGCTGAGAGGTGGGGCAGACCACTGTTGGCATGGAAGAGCTAGGAAGACTTCATCAAAGTGATAGAATATTATCTAGATCATTAATGCATTTATGAACACCTACTAAGGGCTGGACATTCTTTGAGGCATAGGCAATACAGCCGCAACAGACAAAATTCCTGCTTTATAATTTTATAGAACAAGGCAGGTGACATGTACATAAACATCCATTTCAGATGGAGATCTATGCTATGGAGAAAGAGGGTGAGGGAAGAGGTGTGCCAAGGGAGAGGGACATTTGCTGTTTTTTTGTAGAGTGGTCAGAGAAGGAAACACTGAGATACCATTTAAGCAGATGACTGGGAGTGAGAGATAAGCCATGTGGATATTTGGATGAAGAACTTTCCAGGCAGATTTAGGAGCAAGTAGAAAAGCAAGAGGTTGAACATGAGCAAGGAAGCCAATTGCTGTAGCCGAGTAAGTGACGCGGAGCATTTCAGGAGATGAGTGAAGAGAATGAGGCAGGGGCCAGGCAATGGTTGGACCTCGTAAGTCTTGGTAGAACCTGTGTTTACCTCGCGTGAGATGGGAAGGAACTGGTGAGTGCTGAATTGAGGCATGCCACCATCTGAGTGCAGTTTTAAAAAGACCCCTCTGGCTGCTATGTTGAGAATACACTGTTGGACAGGAAGAAGTGGAAACAGGGAGAGCTATTATTGTAATAATCCAACCAGGAGATACGATGGCTTGGATCAGGGTGGTAATGGTGGGGGTGGTGAGATGATTGTGTCCTAGCTCTATTTAGAAGGTAGAGTGTCAGGATTTGCTGATGGGATCTGTTACCATGCCTGAGAGAAAGAGAGGAATCTGAGATAACGCCAAGATTTTGGCCTATGGTCTGGAAGAATGGAGTTGACTGTTATTGAGAGGAGGAAGATGGGAGATGAGCAGGTTGTAGGATGAACAACCATGATTTTGGTCTGTGACAAGTTAAATTAGAGTTGCCTGATAGACTTCTAAGGGAAGAATGCATAGACCCATCCGGAATTTAGTCTCGTAGGACTTCAAGGAATGAGTGGAATTTACAAATGCACATATACTGGCAAAGGGCTTTTGAGTTGAGGGAACAGTTCAAGAAAGATCTTCACTGGATCTGGAGGCTGGGTGATAATTTAAGAAGCTTTTAAAAAAGTCTAGGTAAGAGTTGACTGTGCTCTGATCTAGGGTGTTGGCAATAGAAATGGAAAGAAAAAGACACTGAATAAGAGGACTTAATAACTAATTGAAAGTGGGGAGAAGTGAGAGGCAGAGGTGAAAAATGGTTCTTTGGTTTCAACTGTGGATGACACCCTTAACAGGCATCAGAAGAAAAGCAGGTCTGGGGACAAGATTGAGTTGGGCTACCTCATGAGTTTCATGAGTTACTGTTTGCAAAATCCTTTCTAAATGTTATTTCGATTGGTCCATTTACAATCGAGGCACTCTGCATCTCTATGCAGAGAAGTCTATTTAATAAGCAATTGGAATTGAGTCAAAGGAGGGGATTGGCCCCCTGGTCTGTGGATTTGGAAGTGATTTGCTTAGAGATTATAATTGAATTCCTGAGCTGGCCAAGGCAAGCCTGTTTTAAAAGAAATGTGCTGATGGCAAAATCTCGGGGAAGGCAAAGTTTAAGGGCCCAAGAAGAAGCTGTAAAGTTACTTAAATACATAAAAGTGGAGTCAGTTACAATGAAATAAAATCACAAGTGCATTATGAAAGTTTGTAGGAAGGAGCATTTGGGGCATTCCAAAAGCTCAAAAGCTCTGCCTCGCCCCCTTCTCTCATTCCTACCTGCTCTTCAGTATTCAGAGCTGACTCCTCTCTTTTGTAACTCAGGGCCCCCTTCTCTATTTCCAGTTTACCATCTCATTCTCTATGCACATGCATAGCACATGTGTCTTGTATACAACACCGTACTCTGCTCATTCGTTTCTACTGTAGATTGAGATCGTAGAGAGCTAATCCTTAGTACATCCTCATGGCAAGGGGCACACAGGGAAGACATGAAAGCTGCTTTAATAAAAAGGAGGGCTATAGAGGTTATATTATAACTGGATATTGGAAACTGCCTGTGGAACTCTGAGAACAAGTCCAGTGCAGTGTTGAAGCAGATCTTGTAGAATCTTTGAGAAAAAAACAGCAGATTTACTCATGGTATTGAACTTGAGGAGAAAATATCAGGTAATCATTAAATTATTTAATAAGTGCACAGAAAAGGCAGCCAAAACTTAAAAGATTAGCTTTGTGAGAGATATAAGAATAAAGACAAATGATTCTAGTGACTAATAGTTACTATTTTTTTCTGAAGTAATCCTTGTCTGTGTGGACCACTCTAAATATGGACATTTGGATTAATTTTTCCGATGTGTGCAGGGCTCGTTGAGCCATTCTGTGAAAGAATTCACACTTGGGTACAGTGCCGAGGCTCTTGTTTCTGCGTTTTGGAAAAACACCATTTATCTCTGTAGTGCTGTTTCTTGTGATATTATCACTAACGCGCCTAGGTAGTACAGCAGAAATTTAGATGGAATTTCCAAATATAAGCCCAACCTTCCGGTTTTAACCCTAAATCTGATCATGTGAACCTTAGTCACCATGGGTATTTTTGTCGTAGAAGTAAGTCCATGAGTGATGTCAGCGCGGAGGACGTACAGCACTTGCGTCAGCTGCGTTACGAGGAGATGCAGAAAATGAAGTCACAAATGAAAGAGCAAGATCAGAAATGGCAGGATGTGAGTATTCTTTATCCTGGGAGATGGGAGGACAGGGAAAGTGGGTTTGTTTGACTCTTCCTTGCTTCTCTTAAAAGAAAGTCAGTATACTCAAGAGATGATTTTCCTTGCTATTAAAGGGTTCAATCCTGTAGAAAATGTGACCAACTTCCTTTAAAACTATTTTTTAGGACTTTAGGTTCTATTACTATTGCATATTTTAAAGGCGATTGTGAAAAATAAAATAAGATGTTTATCTTTTATTATTCTCTTGAGTTCTTCAATATGAGAAGCCACTTCCTGGCAGTATAGCTACCGTGTTGATTTGCTTTGGCAATTGAATTTGGGGCAAGACTGTTACTGACGCTTGGGAAGGGACGAGACTTCGCTCAAGGCTTGGGAAAGCAGGGGGACAGGGTCCAGCACGGTCTTGGCGTCAGTCTGGAGAGATGAAAGCGTTCTTAGCGTTAATAGAGGGAATTTAAGGAGAAATACAAACTATAACTCTGAGTAATATTTTGGTTGACAAAGTAATTAATGTGAATCAAAATTAGGTGTTTCCACAGAGCTGACATACATCCAGATGTCTATATGGATGCAGGCTTAATCTGTAGTTTTGCCCCTGCAGAAAAAAGCATGAACTGTTTTGAAAGGGGTAATTGTTGTAAACCAAAGGAGTGTAAAGAAATGCAATAGATAAACTATACAGAGCAAACCCAGAAAAGTATGAGAACAACATTATGGTAATCGAGTTGAGTGGTAGCATGAACAAAAGGGCCAGAGATAATAAATCTTGATTTTCAAAGGAATTATAATGAAACCGAAACCCCTGTTGTAGCTACACTGCTCAAGTCCAGTGCCTCTTTTAGTTGGAAACCCAATTTAATTGTCAAGAAGCAGTAATTCACTGTCACTTTGCCAAAATACATGGTGACTGGGTATGAAAATAGTAAGTATTGCGGAGTTACCCATTAGGATAAGTCAGATAAAAATCCATGCTGGCTATCCTATAGGACTAAATGCACACTGCTTTTGTTCTTTCTGGAAATAGTTCGTATTGGTTTCAGGCTGTTTTGAAAGGGGGAGTGACTCTACCTGCTCCCAAATGGTATAAACCATAAAACTTACTTTGCCTCCCCTGGGGGTGAGGTTGCTTCCCGTCTGGATAGGCTTCTGCTCGGGCTGGAATGCCACTAGCCATTCTCAGTATGGGATCCCTCTGTTTTGGAGACAGAAAGTTTGCACCATTCAAAATATCCTGGGTGGGTGTCAGAGCCAGCTTAGGCTGCTAGAACTAATTTAAAGCTCCATTAGGTTGACTGGCTTGGGTTCACCCAGCTGGGTTAGACCTACATTCCTATGGAAACACGTGTCCACTTGTTCCCACGTGATCTTTCTTACCACCTCTCCTTGTGTGGAGTTTCCCTACTTTGGAATCCTATACTCGAACCTGGCCTCCCTAGTAAAGCTTTCCCAAACCCAGCCCTCCCTGCTGGAAGTGGAATTGGCCACTCTCTCCTTTGGAACCCCACTCTCTCAGCAATTCTACACACTCATCTGTGAACTTTTATTTATGGGTCTGTGTTTCTTTTCTAGACTGAGAGTTCCTGGAGGGGAAGCGTGTTGACAGCCTCCTGGTCTCAGAGCAGGGACTGAGCTCAGGGTTTGTTAAATGAAAGATCCAGTATGCACTCACATTTGCTTCGCCATTTTACAGTCATGTTTCTGTTCCAGTTTCACTAGTGAGACATGTCATTTTACATAACAGCCAGATGATTGGAGTGAGATGGTAATGAATTTGAAACAGGTCCTGCTCTTTCTGACCTAGCACCTAATTACAAGCATTTAGTATCCTTTGTGAAATGGGCAACGAGGCAGGAAAACAAAAATGGGGTCTATCTTATTAGGTCAGGTTTTTTAGGCAGACACATGAGATAAAGGCGTGGTACAGAAACACTGGCTATAAAAAGCAAAATTAGGGCACCTTGGCATCAAGTTGGAGTGAATAGTTTCAGCGATGTAATGGGATACCCTGGCGCGCTCTCTGCTAGAAAGGGTGTGTAGAAATTCAGGTATGCCCGTGCTGATGTGATTTTCTCATCAGGACCTTGCAAAATGGAAAGATCGCCGAAAAAGCCACACTTCGGATTTGCAGAAGAAAAAAGAAGAGAGGGAAGAAATTGAAAAGCTGGCACTTGAGAAATCTGAGAGAAGCTCCAAGACATTTAAAGAAATGCTGCAGGACAGGTAACACATCTCCTGACTGGAGAGACCAGTGTCAGAAATAGATCTTTTGTGTATGTGTACATTGATTTAAGCATGCACCATTATTAAACTGTAATCAAATAATGCAATGGAATGTTCAATTTCATGTTCAATTTCACTTTGCTCTGCAGTGAAAACTTAAAGCATTGTTATGATAAATAATGACTTGGATTAACAAAAGAAATGAGTGCTAAATAGTATGCATTCATTCTCCATTTTACATTGAATAGTCACATGCAGAATTGGGTGGCATTGGCTATATTTGGTGCAGAAAAGGAACTACTTTTTCTACTTGTAAAGCAAATTTAGGAATGGAATGGTCAAATACACCCAGCTCCCACACTTCACTAAAGTGTGAAAAATATAACCAAGCTCTTTTTTCATGTATAGTGATGCAATTAAAATTATATTTCAAAGGAAGACTGTATAAATATAAGTTGTGAGGATTTATTTTTTGCATTGCAACGTAACAGGGTAAAGGGCAAATTTGAACTTACCTGTAGAGCAGTTACTATGTGAAAACTTTGGATATGTAGAGGTCAGAGAGCTAGCACATATGCTTTCAGGGTAACGTCAAAAAGGAAATGTGCTGTCAGGTGAAATTAAACAAAGCTCCTTTGTGTTCTAGAAGAGAATGCTGTAAACACAGTTTCATTCACTTAAATGCAACACAGCTTGAGAGATACTCTTGACTAAATGGTGATGATGAAACTGTTTCATCAATTTCTCTATAAATATGATGAGATATTTAATGATTTTTTAATCTGTAATAATTGTCCATGCAAATTCTATGAAGCTGTATGAAGCCATGCACTAACTTAATTTTAATGGAAGTTTGAGTCTGTTGTAGTCTTTTATTTGTACTAATTATTATAAATCAGGAAAAACTCACAATGCTGACAAATAGTCTGCATCTTTGGAGGGTTCAAATTGACTGTCAGACAATTAGTTATATTTATAGTGTGTTAATTTTGGAAGAGTTATAAACTTGAGGATGAAATTTCGTGAATAACCCCTTATTAAAATTTCTTTACTTCCTTATTAAAATATCTTTACAACTTAAAAAATAAATCTCTGTGAAGTATTTGAGAGCCCCTCTAAAAAAAAAAAAGTCAACTATAATCTTTCTTACTATGGCATTAAAAAAATTATGTGTATTCTCATATTCTCTTAATTTGTATTGCTTATTGTGTGAAGTTGTTAGTTGTTTTTATTCCCAGTCCATTTTATATGTTGATTACCAAAAGAACATCTGTCTTCCCACCTCTGGGTGTCAAATGCATAACTTTGTGGTTATTGTGTGTTTCTTTCTGCGAAGGGAATCCCGAGAACAAACATCTACAATTACATCAAGGAGAGTGTATTCTTCCGATGATGTATTTAATGAAGAAAAGCTTCCTGGGACATTGACTATGTCCGAAGTAAGTTACCAGAGTGGGAGAGTAGAAGAGAAGGGAACAACTTTTCCTACAGAAATTCCCAAACAAGATTCTACAACTTTTGCAAAAAGAGAGGACACTCTAACAGCTGAAATTCAGCTTCCTTCTAAAACCCCTGGGGAAGAACAACGCCCAGCTTCTTTGTCCCCTCAGCGTTCGCTGCGTACACAAATGGCGTCAACTCAAGTTTCAGCTTCTCTCCCCAGAAGTTACCAGAAAACTGATACAGCCAGGTTAACATCTGTGGTCACACCGAGACCTTTTGGCTCTCAGTCAAGGGGAATCTCATCGCTCCCGAGATCCTACACGGTAAAAAAGTGTTCCCAGTTCATTTCCTCTGTTCTCAAGAGCAAATTGTTGACGAACTTAGCAGAGTTTGAGTTATGTGTATATGATATGTGAAATGTATGTAACTTATATGGATATAAAGCAATTTTATTTTAGCTGATTTAGATTCAATAGACATTTAGTGCTTAAAATATAGCAATGATGCAGAATTGATGAAACTTTACATTTAATGAAAGTAGAGCTGACACATTTTAAAGAACAAATAAGCTACATTCTAAGGCAGAGCATTTACTTTTTAGTGTCCTATTTTCTCAGATATAGCTTTTGTAAAGTGTTAGGTTGAACTATGTGAAGTTGTTAGTAGTCAGTTGTTTTAGACTTATAAAACAGAAATTTCATCTGGCTTAATCTAAATATTTTCAGATTATGTACAAATATCTATTTTTCTCAATTTCTCACTTCATTAGAGCTTAATGTGTTTGAATGTAGTAATTAAAATTACCTCATGTCCAAAAAATACATATACAGTAATACCTCAGTTTGTGAGCATAATTCGTTCCAGAAATAAACTACTCATATTGCAAGACATCGCTCATTTACCAAGTTGAAATGTATTGTTAAGTACCATTACGAACCGCTATTACTTTTGCACCAACCTAATAAAAATGTTTTCTCGTCTTGCGGAACACTTGCAAACCAAGTTATTCGCAATTCAAGGTTTTACTGTATATTTCTATTTGTATTGGGGTTTTTATGACTATGGAATCATTTGCCCTGAGCACAAAGCAGTACTACATAAACAAAAGTGGGTGTATTAATTTTAATTATGTAAAAGGAAGCAATACAGTCTTAAGATCAATGTTCAAATTCCTTTTACCTCTGCCATTGTGAATCCTAAAAGATTAGAATCGTAAAATTCTAAAAGAAAAAATTTGATTTAAAAATACTGAGTTGAGGGAAACCTGTCTAAACTAGCCAGGAATCTCCTGACCATTATTTTAAGTAAAATACAGGCATATTTGACAACATAAAAATTAAATTTATATGACAGACACTTTTAGCATAGTCAAAAGACAATTTATAGACTCAGCAAAATATTAAAAAAATGTATCACAAATATCATGTTAAATTCCTAAGACTTAAGATGGTCCTACAAATTGTTAAGGAAAGATAAACAGTAGAAAAATGGATATAGAAAGGAAGAGTCAGTTCAAGGGCAAGGGAATTTAAATGGTTGGTAATATAAAGCACATAGATGCATGTTCAGCCTCATTAGAAAAAGCAAGAAGTATACAACTTTTCACCCATCTAATTGACAAAGATTCAAAACATTCATAATGCCTGGTGTTAAAAGGAGGCAGAGAAACAGACATTCTTTTTTTTTTTT